TGGAAGCAAGAGAAGGTCCCGGTGTGCGTGCTTTTGCCATTTTTTCCCCCAGGCTTATCTCTGAGCCTTACTTGATGCTGCATATGGGGTTTTTTTTGCACTTTGGGAAGGGCACAAACTGCCATAATATAGACCTCTCTCCTCCTCTGTGCAAAAGGACATGTTTCAGCAAGTGTGATGTTGCCTGGTGCCACCTGCAGAGCTCTCTGGCTGCCTGAGCCCTCTTTTCCTTTTGCTTTTCTTTTGTGGCTGTAATTGGCACCTGGATAACTTTAGAAGAGCTGTTAAGCTCCTTGCCTGTGTAAATGTGCTGGTAATACCAAGGAGGGAAATGCTTGAGGGAGTAGTGATAAGTGGGCTAGGAGCAAAAATTTCTGAAGGACTAACAATAGTAAGGGGAAGGAAATAGCAAGCACCCAAGAACTTGGCTGTTTTGAACGCATCAAAGTTTTGGTTATCAAGCACATGAAAGCTACTCCATCTGACCTGTGCCAGTTGATCTGCTGAACTCAATAGGATGGTGAAGACATTCATATTGATGCCGAGAATTCTGTTTTGCGCAGACCTGGTGATCACACCATGATACTTTCTTTGTCACAAGCAACATGGGAAAGCACCCTGTTCACAAGACACAAAAGCAGAGGATTATTCCAGACAATAATTAAAACAACAAGTCTCCTTGACCCAAGCACACAATCATTTCCTATGTGATGACTTCTCACTGAAATCAAAAATCACATTGGCTTAACCTTTTCCAGTTTCTCACTGATGGTTTTCACATCTTTGCTCTCCAGCAAGATTTCTTGCTGCTGCATTAAACAAGCCAGGCCTTCTCAATGGATAAACTAGTCCTGCTTTTGTTGATGACTTCACTAATACCAAGATAACAGCTCAAGTGCCCTCAAAAACAGGTCAGTCAAGGAACAGTAAACTGTCCTATTTGCTGACAAGGTCACCTATATTGGAATGCTCTTACGCTCTCCAGCAAAGGCCACCAACGAAAAATGTCAGCTACTGACAATGAAACGTGCAAATGTGCTATGTTAAATGTGGTGAAAGAGCAGACAGGCCAAAGGGCACAAACATTTCAGCAGAAAAAGTTTCTAGGAGGAGGGCTGCCCAGCAGAAAAAAACCCACACCCTGCATGTGACTGTACACGAATGAGCCCCAGAGGCAGCTGCTTTCTGTCCTTTTAAAACACAAAGCTGAAGACTGAAACATCTTACAGGAAGGGACTGGGCTAAGAACCTCGTTGTCAAACAACTACCATGCAACAAGATGTCAACAGAGCAAAACTACCAATGTTTCCATGTATAGGAAGAGTCATGAAAGCAATCACTTGCCTTCAGGCAGCAAACATGAAAAGGTGAAATTCCTGCATAGGCTTGGAAAATGGAGAGCACGGGTATATGTGTACACACATGTGACAATGTGTGAGTGAGTGTACACATATATATATTAAACATTGATATAGGTCAGAGAGCTGATGTCAGCTTATACCTAAAACAAATTTAGACCATAAACTGTGTCCGTTCACTTTCTTCTGCTGTAGAATAGAACAAAAAATCAGTTTCTCAAATGGTCTCCTGCCGTATATTGCTAAAAACATTTGAGCAGTGGAATTCTTAAGAAAATCTTAAGAAACCTTAAAAAAACTGCAAAAGAGGAAATATTTCCAAGGAAAGAATAAGCTACAACTGAACACAACGGCAGGTCCTGTTTTCTCTTTGTTCGTACACTCTGCAGAAGCTCCTCACTGATGGTTTTCTTTATATCTCACTGCAGTTTGTCCATCACGATAAGCAGGTGAAACACAGAGCCCCAGTCTTGGCCACATTAAATTGAGATCCGGCACCATGAAAATCTCGGGCACTCATTCTATGCAGAAACTCTCCACTCAGGTTTTTCCTTGTACCCTGCTGCACTCTGAGTGCATCGTTGCCACACAAGTCTGAGGCTCCTTGCCCAGGACATCTTACCGGACAGACCTTCCTCATGTGGGGCTGATGCTTAGAAGGTTGCCTACCACCTGTAAAAAAAAAAAAAAAAAAAAAAAATTAGACAGCACATGCCTCGGTCCACCGAGGATACAAGACCTAGAAGAAACATGTCATGCTCCCCTTGCTCATCTCCCTCTGGTGCAGATAGCTCACGCCACCCTGGGCTCGCCACCTTCACCCTGAAAAACAAAAAGCCAAACTATAAAGTACTCACGGACCCACAAGCGACATCGTCCCCACCACGCCGAGTGACGGCCCGCCCTCTTGCTCTGCTGCTCCGGCTTTCTCCGGTGCTGCTGGACACCCTGTCCGCTGGCCTCTGCACAAAAACAGGACTCATCAGCTCACCCAGACGCTCAGTGACAGCTTCACCTTCTCAAAGTTCTCAGGGCCATTCAGGAAATCGAGAGGGCAACTACAGCCCGCATTAAGACACAGAAAACAACCACCAAAATCCATGGCCCTGCTAGGCAGCTCCCACCATCTCCACAAAACCCTGCTCTCAGCACTGCACTCAGAAGGACCACGGCTGCTCCATCCACAATAACTACACAGCCATCGCCTCTGCCGCCT